AAATTTTTTCCATTGACAATGATTCAACAAGAAGGTAATCCATATGTTCGAGATGATACAATGTTTATTAAAGTTATGGTTGGTTTTGCTGAAATGCCAAAAACAGTGTTACCTTATGCACTGAGTCTGAATCCTGGATTACCAACAAATGTTCAACAATACATAATTAAACAAGAAATAGAAAGAACGGCTCAAACACAAACTTTACAGCAACACTTAGCAACAAATCAATAAGTAAAGAACGAGTTATATTTTCGACTAACAGATAAACAAGAGTATAGTTAATCGATCTTAATCGAGAAATAATCTGTATGCAATAAAACTCGCAGAGTGAACAATAGTAGTCTTTCTGTCTTGTTTTTATATAACATATATGATTTTTTATGATTGGATTTAATTCTTTGTTTGTATTTTCATTGAAAATAGTAAAATCAAGAAATAAAATAAAACCTAAATAGGTCAATTCTATATCATAATAAATTATGTTAATGCAATCTATGAATATCGATGATTCAATGAATCGTATAAAATGTTATTCTTTTTATTTTCATTTTTAAACTTAGAGATCTTTGAAATACAAGAAAAAGAATTCCATCCAATTTTCGTATCTGCTTAATTTTAATTTCAATATATACACGCTTTGATTATGTCTTCAATTATTCATCGAAATTTTTTCTTAGCTTGAAAAAGCATTAAAAAAAGCTGTTTATTAATTACTCACCGCTATGAGTTAAATACCTACGGAACATGGGATGCAGTGTTTTAAATCGGACGTCTATACAAGTAATAATGCAATATTATGAACATAATTAATATCATTTACTAGAGAAAGATATCAGTTTGTTAGCTAATCTCAGTTATTATATGAAGTTCAATTTTTTGCTCTTATTTTTTTGATCTCACACGTTGCTTCAACGAAAGAGAAATATGTATTTTTCAATTTTGTCTAAGATAACGTTGTCAACAAAGACATGCTATTATTGAAAATAATTAAATCGAAGGAAACAATAGAAAAGTAAAAATCTTCAATTAATAATCAGAAGTTGCTTGTAACATCTCTGTCTCGTAATGTATCGTTAGAGTTAACGTCTGACTTTTCTTGTAAGTTGAATTGAGTCCATGAAGGAATTATATGATCGATAAAAGACAAAAAAAGCATCATCTTTTATTGCTTCCTTATTCCACCAAAAGTAAGCAAAAATTTCTTTTGAAATGACAATAAAAATATGAAGTGCTATGATTATTTAAACAAAGTACCTACTTCCTTTTCTCATGTTTGAAATCAAGACATTTCAAAATAAAAATCTAGCAAGCTTTCAATTGTTAGTCACCAAAAATAATAACTGCAAAAGTATAGCTGCATCAACAATTTCTATATGTCGATTATTCACTGTGATCTTGTCTATCAAAGATCCTCGAAGCAGCTGAAAAACTTAAGAGTAAATTCTAAATCTTTCTGCATGCCATTACAGAAGTACGTGATGCAGTACGATCGCTGTCATGAACAGTCAAACAAATATCTTGTGTTATGTTGATAACATCAGATAGTGCACCAGACAAATTCAGTTTACATATGCTACTAGTATAAAATTCAATTTAAATTGTACACTATGTACAATAAACTCTCAGAGCAAGATTAGTGCCTACTTCAATTATAGAAATAAAAACAGTAGACCAAACTGAATGCATACATATATATATGTATGTATTCTTATTTTTAATGCTGTATCGTAAGAAGAAAGGACGAATCATTGAAGCTCATATCTTCTCATACTGGTTTCGCTGTTGATATTCTTGTTTCGAACCGTAGCTAAACAAAATGATTTGAAGATTTCTGTTATGCATCTCGGAGCATTTCGAACAATACTTATTGTACTGAAGTACTAAAAACGTGGTGAATACCTTTTTATGTCTCATGAAATAATTTTTTCTATACACGATTTCAATTAATTCATCATATATGTACTGAATAGGTTTTAATATTTTTCGACATAATAGATAATTGGACAGTATGAAATAATATTGACTATTGTCTTTATCATGAAAGAAAATAAATTGTAAAATAGAAACAGAAACCATGTTACTATTTTTCTAATTGCTAAAAAGAGTCTTTAACATAGGCATTTGCTTAATGTTTATTTCAAACATAATTTTCTTTAAAAGAAATATAAAATTAGTAGAGTGACCCTCATTCAATGGTTTTTGAATATAATAATTCAATACACTTCATATGAAAAATATTTTTCTCACGAGTGGCGGGAGATATCAGTATTGTTCTGAAAATTATAATTGGGTTTATGAGTCCATTTATCTAATCACAAAAAGATATGTTATAGATATCATTGAGTTACATAATGTGCAACAAAAACATTTTCCAATCTATATAGAGATCAGACAAGTCGAACTAATCAATAAAAGATAAAAAAATCGAAAAAATATCGTCATCGTTTCAAAAAATTCCTTTTTTTTACCAACTGTTGAAAATTGAAATAGTTGTATGTTTGGATACTTGTGAAAGGTACATCCGAAAGAGCTAATCGTCATGCTCGAGAGATTTTTAAACATAATGACTTCAATATTCTATTCAATTTGACACTAGCCTGTTATATAAGAATTTTAACATCAATGATCAAATATGAAATGATTACTGCATTTACATCTACGTCTTGAGAAAAAAAAACTATTTACATGCCTTGTTTCATAGAAAATGATGAAGAAAAAATTTCGATGATGCTGTCATAAAAAGGTTCTTTGCATATGGATAGAGAAATTGTGTCTGCGCTTGATGATTTCTAATTATTATTCATGAAAGCTTTTTCTTTTATTAATACTCGTGTCATGAACAACTGCATGTTTAATATTAATGTGACATAGAATACAGCAAAGAGAAGGAAAAACAGATCCTCCGAGAAAAACAACGTTTATTGAACATGGTACTTTGTTTTATTTTAATAAAAATTTATTAGTCGATACAAAAATGTTTTTTATCAACACATCAGTCACCTATTTATATATTCATTAGTTTTACTATGCGATAATAAGCATAAGTGATTGATTAAAATGGCAATGACAGCTATTAACATACTAATCAACTGTGTTTCTGTTTCGCTTCATATTTTGTCAATGATTACCTCCATTAGTGTTTTTACTCTTGTTATCTATCGTTGGAATTTCAATCGACATCATCAACAACGTCCTTCCTTTATTTCGATATCTTGTTTCGACGATTCTATTTCATTATTACTCATTGGAAACACTTATGTTGTCTTGTTTTTTTATAGTGTAACATGGCTTTCAGTTCTTGCTCATACTATTGCTGGAGACTTTTCTATTTTAAAAAACTTTCTATATCTTGAAGACTCAATGGCTTGCCGATTACGAGTTGCTATGATATTTTCATTAACAAGTGCACTCTTTCATAGTTTCTTACTTCATGCACTCTCGTGTTTGTTCAAAGTTATATTTCATTCAACATTGCAGACGAAAATACTCTGTTATTTATCATTGCATCGTGCATTTACTTATATTCTATTAATCTTGATTAGTTGGTTTCTATCAGTAGTTATTGTAATACCAGCATGGACAATATTCAATACATTCTCGTATTTTCCTGAACAGTATCATTGTCTGATATCGTTTACAAATGTTCGCGGTTTTATATATTCATTGTTAAGTACTTATGTGATACCTGTACTTGTGATAATATATATTTATAGTCGATTAATTATCTTTATACATCATGCATACAATTCTAAACATATATCACGAGCAAGAAGAGAAACAATGATTGTTAAGCGTATTTTGATTATCTGTGCCATTTTATGTTTTTCTGGAAGTCCAACAATAGTTTTTCTATTTCAGTTTATAATGACGGGTAGACTTCATCCACTTGCCGATCGAGTTCATGAACTTGGTCTTGCAATTAACACAAATATCGTTACTCTTGGCTTTGCTATTCTTAATTCATTGATGAAACTTTTGCCTAAAAGATCTCGTCAACAGCAATTTCCGACAAGTTATAAACAATCGAAAAAAGTATTCAGCGATGGACTGCGATGATTTATGTTGCTTCCAGTGATTTCAATTCGTTAATTATTACAAAGCGCTATACTAACACATTCTCCATAAATCGTCATAAAATATTTTAAGTATTAACCGTTTAAAAAAAAATTGATGCTTTTTGTGTTTGCTTTCATAGGCATGAAACTTTCGAATAAGTTGATTGTAAAAGAAAGATGCTAATATGAAATGAAAACCAACAATATCATTCCAAGAGAATTTATAATTGACTAAAACTTATTAATAATAAATATATCTTTGTTGTATTTTCTGTATATATTATTAGCAGTTGAAAAACTAACAATATAGAACAGGTAATTTTTACTGCTCTCATACGATGATGATTAGCCAAGTTTTGTGTTAACATGGAAAGATTCATATTTAAATAATAGAATGATCGATATATGTCCGTTCCTGTCCCGATCATCATTTTCGTATGAAACATCTTGTGTCTCAAGTGAATGTTGATTACAAGAATGATTTAAATACTGCATTCTAGTATAGTATAGGATTAATTACGATCTACTTCAATGAAGAATGTATATCATTAAATGCGATCGGCCAATGCTACAAATCAGTTGATCGATCAATTACTTCACAGCTAGGTCATCTCTTTTTGTGATATTTTCTACATGTTTTACTTTATCTATATTTGGTTAAAACCAGTAAGACAGTTAGCAAATATAAAAAGAGATCATCTAGTTAAGAAACATTCTGCCAACCAATTCATGTGTAGTATTGCTCAATTCTATCGAAAGAGGGTGTGGGTGTGGGTGTGGGGCGTGGAAGCAATAGAGACTCAATTGCACCCACACTCCACACCCATACCCCACACCCAGTACAAAGAAAAAGAGATCTTATGGAAAACCAAAAAAAAAACATGTATGGTTATATCATACGTACTTGGGAATGAATTACTATGTGATTACAATTATCCAGTTAATTTTTACAGTGTATGACAATGTTATTATGTATTGTTGCATAATGACAAATGTTTTCATATTGTTTAAATTATTTTAGATTTTTATTAATTACATGTGATTCATATTTATCATTATATTAGTTACAGTTATTATGTCATTATGTTCATGATTTCATATAACTATATATGTTTGTTTTTTTTTGTTTCGTATTAATGTTGTTGTTTTTTTTAATCTCTTTTGCGTTTTTGTAATGTTCTTTCCATCGATACTTACATGGCTTAAAAGTGGTTCTTAGAAAGACAGAAGATTACCTTTATATAAACAAAATATTCATTATACTCAGAAAAAATATATTTATATATATATATATATATATACTTTTTCCCAATACATATAGGAATGAAGCAGTACAAAATGTACTTTTCATATAAATATAACAAGCAAACAAGTTTTACCTCGATTTTCATGCTAATTTAATATAGAAACCCGTACAAGCTTTTATCGATTTGGTATTACAATATTTTAAAAATTGCCTACTTGCAGTTATAAACTTTACTCGTGCCATATACTGCTACACAATTCCAATTCTAATTCAAATCAATTTTTAAAATATAATTAGCCTTTGATATTTTTGCTATTTCGATAGAACAGTTGTTATTTGAATGAAAATTATAAAGGAAAAAGAATTGTTGGTTTGCTTCTGGATACTGATCTCATATGTGATAATGGAAGTTGCATTTTTATTTCGAAGTAGTATTAGACAAATACTACTATATTCACGTTTTTTTTTTCAGTGTGTGAAATGTAATCATGACCGTATCTAAAAAAGACTGACAGAGTGAAGTTATCCTCACTCATAAGTTTGTTAGTGTGTTTTTTGATTTATATTATACTCATTTGGAATATATTTATAATAAAAAGACATTTTCTTTCCTATAATATTTCGATTATTCTTCTTTCATTGATATCCAAGATTTATAAAAAACATAATATTCAAATTGTGCGTGTCCACATGTGAGATTCATACAATTTTAATGTGTACCACAATGACAACGAGAAAATTTCTGCCCTGTGCGTTAAAAGAACATCCGGTATGTTTTCATAGAATTGATAAATAATGAAAAGTATTGCTGGCATTTTTTTCAACTAAAACTAGCAGAGATATGAAAGATATGAATGCTGGTTTTCAAAACTTAAAAGTAAGAAAAGAAAAATATCATCATTGTATTGCATGCTTCATGTTCCTGAAAAAAACCTTGACCATAACGTCAATTACATGATATGGTTGGGTTTCTTCAGAAAGTGAAATTACAACAAATAAGAAAGGTCAACAAAAACAAAATACATTAAATCATCTCATGTCGCTAGAATCTATGTACGAAGTATGACTAGCATCATATTAAAAAGATCATTAAAATCGAACGACTGTTCAAGAATTTCTTATTATCGCCGTAAGAAAGCATCTGAGTGATATAAATGAGAATGACTGTTTCAATAACCTTCATTTTGAAAAAAACACGAAACAATATGAAATATTTTCTATAATCGATAAATTTGAATTCTGACATTTGACTCAGTCCAAACACTAAAATACAATGTATCGTGCTGTAGATATGTCGTGGTCCATTGACTATTCGTATTTTTTTCTAGTTTATTTTTCGTTTAAAATTTAGTCGAAAACATGTTGAGAAATAAATCAATGACCGAGATTGAACCACTTTGACGCAGCTGGATCTTATCGAAAAATTTGTACTTCGATATCTTACAAAAAACAGATATTTAACGTGTCAAAGTGTAAACATAGGATAGTTCTTTTATTAGTGCGAATGCATACTGTTTCTGATTATATTGTAGGAAAAAAAACTGAAAACGAAAAAAATGTTGATTTATTTTTGGACAAAGAAAGTCTTTCAGATACATGTTGATGTGTACCAATAAAATTTACTTCTTCTGATTTGGATGTGGATGGTCTCTTCATCCACACCTCACACCCACATCACACCCTGTTGTCCAGATTTAATGGTATGCGACATGAACCATATCCTTATGTAAAGAAAGGCAAGAAATGATTGTTTCTCATGTTCACATCCTATTCAGCAGAGAACTAAAACAGCTTAATTTTTCATATAGATCGGCTTAATATATGAGCAAATAAATGAACTATTTTCAATGAAAACACTCTATAGCCTAATCTTCCTGAGGATATCAAACATAGCTAAATCTCGTTTAGATCAGTCACGTGGTATACAATACAAAATGCATTAGAAGGTTTTATTTTATTAGTCAAAGTTTTCTAACATTAACAACAACAAAATACGTAACATAAAGTTGAATTTTATGAGGAAGTACAAACGATTTTACTGATGACGAGCCCCTCCTTTTTGTGAACTTTGTCATTTTTCAAGCTTTGAGGTTAATGAAAACGAAGACAGCATAAAAAGTTAGACACTCGACTATTCGATTAGCTGATTCTGTTCATTTCAATTGCAAAGGTAGCTAACCATAAATAATGAATCATACAGATAATTAAATGATAAATCGATTGTTTCCATGCTCGACATTCCTAGCTTCGCACCGCATTTCGTATTCGAGAGAAACTCGAATACTATCTAGTTAAGTGGACTGACTGAACGAAGTGCTGATAGAGCCGACTTATTACTTTTCACTCGCTTAGTTGTCATCGCAAGTTCTTCTTCTTCTTCTTCTTCTTCTTCTCAACACACGAGTCACGATTCGAGTCAGCCACTCATTCTCAGCTCCTGACTATTATTTTCAGTTGAAAAAAAAAGCTTGACCAAATCGTGAAAATGTGACGAGTGCACATCTGAAACTCGTTTTTCGAAATTCGGTGGCGTTCGGGAGATATAGAAATGCCGAAAATGAATAACTAACAGCTGATAGTTCCTTTATGTGGCGACGAATGCTTCAGTCTTGAACTAACCATTCATAACAAAGACGTTTAATGCATGTATATTTTAATTAATAGTCACCTTGTGCCATTTCAAATCGTTCACGATGAGGTCTCAAACGTCAGAGAAAAATTTTCGAATGACTACCAAGCAATGAACTATCAATTTAAAGGAAATGAGCATCTAGTCTGCAGTCAGCCGACATTCCATCCAACTCACAACGCTGAATGGCAGCCTAGTTATTTATTTGCAGTCATTCTTTGTTGAAACATGTGACTGTCGTCATTGTGCTGATATGCGGAGTTAAACGCATTTTGACTTATTTTTTCTTGAGCTTCTACTTTCGATTCATAGAAAATGTCGTCGGAACCGGTAATCTAGCAATAGTTTACTTTAAGTGGTAATATATGGTTTTTAGAAACCTCTATATTCGATTCCTTGATATTGTACATGTCTACTTTTGAATGAAAGCAGATTTTCTTGAAAATCTCCAATAAAAAGATAAGAATAATAACGAAGTTCAATCAAAGTCGAAATAAAAACATTTTCGATTTCATCAATGTTAAACTGTATTGTCATGGCTTTAAAATTTCTTCTTAGACGTGCTCTTTCATTAATGAATGCTCATTCAATCTACTAAAACTAAGTATTTCACACAGGATCAATATTATGAGACAACATGCAACAAAACATATTTATTACAGTAAACAACCTTTATAGATGAATATAACATAAGTTAATTTTTTTTCGCTTCATTCGAATTCAATGTGATAAATCAATGAAAACTTTTCTATGCCTGAAACAGTACAACGGTGAGATTTTATCCTATGAAAAAAATTGCGTAGTTGAATAATTCTTAGCAGTGTCCTGAAAAGTCTCAGTACACATATAACTAAAAGAACTTGAGTTTTCACAAAATACTTCTTTGTAGTGATTATGATTTAAAGGCTCAGTAAAACAAATGAAATAGTCAGTAAAAAAAAAAGTCAATGATCATTAAAAAAATTGAATGGTCAGTCGATTATACATATAATTAGTACTAAAAAAAATGCATTTTACACCAGTAAAACATAAATTTGCACAGTCAAAAATATTGATTTAGTCAGCGGAGTTTTTTTTATCTTTATAAATGAAACATGGATGTGAGTGAGAATGGATCTGACTGTGAAAGAGGATAACCGCAACACTCACATTCTATTACAATTTCAATAGGCCCCAATTAATAAATAAAGTCTTTACTAAAATAACGAACGTTTATGTAAAACGTTCTCATCGTGTGGAGTTGTCCTCACAGCCAAACTCGTACTCATAACTATCTGTTTCATGCGGTTGTTGTGGAACTTTTTCTTCTATTTCTTCTATTTCTTGTTCGATCAGTTTTTGTTGAATAGGAATTGGCAAACCAGGATTCAAACTTATTGCATAAGGCAAGACTCTATCAGGAATATTACCAAAATTAACCATTACTTTAATAAACATTGTATCATCTCGTACATATGGATTATCTTCTTGTTGAATCAT